CCTCCCTTGAACCACTCGCGGCTTGAGCCAAAATGGCTACTCTCTCTCTCTCTCTCTCTCTCTCTCTCTCTCTCTTCCTCCATTCAGTCAGAGAGAAGGCACAAGCGCACCCTCTCACGCGCATGTCCGCGCCCTGGTCTCCAAGGTCTATGCTTCCCCGCTACAAGATGAGGCCCCCATTCAGCAAACTCTTGTATCCCCTACCCCGAAAATCGCACTCTCTCTCTCTCTCTCTCTCTCTCTCTCTAGTAATTTAGTAGTCAACTCTCTTTTTATTCTGACGACTTAGGGCACCAGGGTGACTACAGCGACTTCACATTGTGACTTCTGATGTTGCTGCTCCGGCTTATGGTTCTTAATGGCTCTTATCACTTGGAACTGTGGCTCGCGCTGCCCCGTAACGCCATTCGGCCCAATGCCGTCACCGCAGTTGGCTGCCGGGGCACCTGCTTTTGGGAACTTGGGTCCAAAGCCCCTCTGGTCTGAAACGACGGTATCAGTAGCAGGAGTCGGCAAGGAGTAGGTCGTGGTCACACTATTAGTAGGAGTAGCAGTCTCTGTCTTTTGTCGTCGTCCTAGCTGTCCCAGCCAACTCAGGAGTCCCTGCCAGATGCAAAAAGCCAAGAACTTCACATGTTGCGAAGCCGGCTCTCGAAAATGTTGCGAGGACAGAAGCACAAGTAGCTTCTGACACTTCGATAGTTAGTTTTTCAGACTTTGCCACAGTGAACTGGTCCATGGTGGTCCAGAGAACAAACTCCTGCTAGATGTTGCTCGTTGTTCGCAATATGGATGACACTAAGTGACATTTCAGACGGGGCCCGGGCAAAGGCTAAGCCAATCAAGCCGGTGAAGTCCGTCCGCGTTCTGGTTGGGGTGGGCGATGGCTCGCAACTGCCTGGCACTACATGGCTGGGTGGACTGCGTGTTGGCGGCTTTTCTCTGAAGGGTGCATGCTGCATCGAATACGCTTGAGCTTGTGATGTACACCTACGAGATGAAAGCTGGAACGAAACGCGGTGGCTTGACGTGCATTGTAGTGAAACATTACCTCAGCTTGCAGAAACAGGATGCTGTAACTCAGAGTTCTGGATTTGTGCAGTCGAGGGCACTGGATCGTACTGCTTCAGGAGCGGTCCTTACCGTGAGCATCAATGTCACACCGGGCATTTCGCGCAAAACAGGGGGACGCGGGGCTCCGCGCAAACAGTGCAAGCACGCTCCAAACAGTGGCAGAAGCAGCTGTGGCGGTATTTCTAGAAGTAATGATAGTGGCACCCGTATGGGTAGTGGTGGCACTCGCAGCAGCAGCAGCAGCAGCAGCAGCAGCAATTTTCGTTCTCGTGCTCATAGCAATTCTCCTCGAGTTTCCACCAACTGGTTACTTGTGAAACAACTGCTGACCTCTTGGTCACCCCTGGCGCAAAACCTTCGGGACTGCGCCCGTCTTCAAAAATTATCTACCGAGATTCGGGAAGCCCGTGACTGGCTTGCCCTTCGCTGGCCGCACCTCAGGCAAGCATCCGGCCCACGACGGAATGATCCTAAGTATCATCACGAATCTACATGTGCTCCCTTGCATCCGTCCAGCTTGTGCGATGGTGCAGATTATCGTACAACGTTCCCATGAAGTGAACAACACAACACAACTATTGATTGGTGCGCATGTGGCCGCCCAGCACTGTAAAAGATGGGTGTGTTTCTGCAAAGCCAGGCAGTCTTGCATGCCTGACAGTTTCAAGTTTCGGGGTGCTGTCTGATGCACTCAAATGTCATGCTGCATCCGAGGCCTCCAGGTTGTCAAACTGGCATTTGTGGTAGCCGCAACCAAGGCCAACCTGGAACCGAAAAGCCGACACGGAAATGCATGGAATCAGTCCTGGCCTGTCCAAGTGGATAGCTGACATCGACGATCTCGGCAACCTTCTCGCCTTCGACCTGGGGGGAAAAGCTTGGAAGTCGGATTCAGAAACATGCCTCAGACATAACAGGCGTCAGGTCCCGAAGCTTCAAGCTGGAGGCTACCTCACATCTTTGCCAGCGAACGGCTAGAGGATCCCATGTCAATTGAACACCAGGAATGACAGCATGGGCCCATGCTAACCGCGAAGTGGGCAACTTGTGTCCCAAACCGTTCCCACGCCCGAAAATAGCAGAAACTCTGCTGCAATGCAGTACAGCGTATGAAATCAATTTGTTCTTGAACAATCTTGGCATGACGGAATGCAATGTGTCAGACTTCAATATATAGCGTAACACATCACAACCTAGCACAACAATCAATTTAACACTTCAGCTGATGTAAAACAATACCATTTGTCGTCAAAACACTTTAACATAGTTTACCATAACGCAACATAACATGCCACAACGTCGTATCATGTGATATGGTGTAATCTAGCATCATAAACCAACACAGTTGGCAGAATAGAAAACATGACATGCGTACATGCATACATATACCTACATACATACATACATACATACATACAGACAGCATACATACATAGATGCATAGGCTGCAAGGGACCAACACCGAGTCCTCTGAGCTCATGGCGAATGCGGAGATCCGGGCTTTGTAGGCCTTCGAGGCATCTTTACTTTGCTCAAGGCAGAACACTTGCGTATCTTCGGGTTCGACTCTCGTTTCATGTGGTTTCGACCTACATGGGATACTGCAGCCTAGCCAAATAGTGGCCCCCGATCGCTTAGTCGCTCTGATTCAGCCGCAACAGGGCTACTAGTAGCAAAGCAGCTGCATCTCCATGGCGACAAAAAGTTTAGCAGTTTAGCCCGCAGACTTGCCCCAGCGACAATTGATGCTATCCTGCTCGGCGAAAGTCGATCGAGCAAATCTCGTCGACTTGGCCATCTGTACATCATTCGTGTCCGGGAGGGGTATCTATCAGCTGCTTACATGTTGCGAGCGAGTGGCAGCCAGGCCTTCATTCTCAGCTGCAGCCAGCCTCCCTGCACAACCTTCTGAGAGGCCTCCGAACCTGGAAATTGGGTGGGCTTTGTAAGCCCGAAACCCTAACCCAAAAGATAGGCTTCAGGCGGGGTTCAGTAGGGTCCCTTTTCGGGGGTCCTCAAGTCAGAGTCTTACGATCTACGGGTCTGTATTAAGAGCCCCTGTTTCTCTGCAGCTCCATACTTCGGGTTTTGGGCTTGCAGTTGAGGGTTCAGGGTTTAGGGCCATTTGCCGATTGCATCTGCGATTATGAACCCCGAATACCGCACACCTCATAACATCCCAGGCCGGCAGCACATATGCACAAACAAGCGGAATCGACGATGCTTTGCGCCCTCGGGTTCAGGCTTTGTGGATTTTCTGTGCTGACAAGTGGCGGGCTTTCCGGATTCCGGGTCTGTCTGCAGACTGACTCGCCCGTAGACTGACTAGCCCCCGCAGGCCGCAACACTTCTCAAGTCGGCTGAGTTACTAACATGACGAGGATACCCCTATAGGCCTTACGCCAGAAGCGAGTGCTGTCAGGTTTGGATTCGCCCCGGCTGGAGGCACAACCGGCGCAAACCATAACTTCGGGCTGTCGATTGGGGATGAGCTTCCCTCTTGGCTACTCCTGCCGAACTTGTCTGCTACAAAAGTGTGGCAACTTCCACGTGTCTCAGAAGCTGCTGCTCAAAACCCCTGGGTTCGACAGACTCAGACTTGTGGTCGGAAAACAGCCGTAGCAAAGCGATATGGTGAGACTGTGTGGCCAAGCCTCGACGAAAGCTCACTTACACAAGCCCCGAAGCGTACAAGATGCCTGAGATCCAGGCTGAGGTACCCTGACTCCACGATCTTCGAGGAGATCGTCAGCAACCAGGCCGGGCGCGAGGAGGTGTTGTTCTGGATGATCTGGGCAGCAGCAAGGGGGACGAAATGAGCAAATTCTGACGCTACCGACGGTTCGCACCAAACCGCCCAGGGCACTGTGATGGAGTGAACCAGTGGGGCATAAATTGTGCGAGTAGAAGTGGCTTACCTCGCCGAAACAGTTTTGAAGTTGCAGCATGCGGCATAGGAGGTACTGGGGGTGGTCCTAGTTGGTCCTTTTGTCCCTCCTGCCTGGCTAGGACGAACCTACGATGCAGGGTCTGATTGCCGGTAAATCATCGAAATTGTAAGCGTGGCAACTCCACGTTTCGGATGCAAGCTGCTGAGAGAAGTAGGACATCGCTGAGCGAGGCTGCTTTTGGACCTAGTTGGTCTTAGTTCGTGCCAGTGCTCCTGGGTCCTAGTTTAAAGTTCTAGGTGCTTGAAGATCTACAATCTCCCTGTCAATTAATGAAACAGGGCATATGTGCCAGCATAGAGTCATCGACACCAACTTGCTGTGACTGCTTTTTGGGAAGCAATGACAAAAGCACGGGTCGTTCCGCGGAAGAGGAATGCCAGGGCCCACGCGCGGACACAGTAGCCTTCAGTCCTTCGGACAATGGGTAAACAATCTCGAAATTCATCTCGAGGTGTCGCAACGTGAAGACCTCTCACCGAGGCTTCGACTGACCGCCGGTAGCACCAAAGAAGGTGTAGCGAGATGCCTGAGAGTTGCGACAGGGCGAACTTCTGTTAGGCCGAGGTGCACTTTGCCGTCTCGTGCATTCACCACTGCCACTTTTTACGACAGGGGCCCTCCGACACTAAGCCTAGCAGCGGCCTTACTGGCCCTCGACATGGTGACATCCCACAAGCCGGATCTGCAAACTGTCATGTCAGAGCAGTCAGAAAACCCAAGGCTGAAGCCCGCAGGCAAAGGACGACTTGCCTTGGCGTGGGCACCTTGCAGCTTCAGGTTCTGACAGTCGCATGTCTCTGCTGCTCTTGGCGCTGTCCCGGCAGTGGGCATGCGCATCGCTACAATGTGCGCATTGAAAAGTCGAACGAATTGCGTGCACACAGCACAAGCAAGCAGCAGTCAAGTCATGGAGCTGCTTTAGACTCTTGCACACAGGGACAGCTACGTATGGATGTCCGTGCTGGCTGACGGTAGGAGAAAGGTTTCTGTTCTGGAGCTTTCCTCCGTCTATGGGTGTCTTGGGTCTTCCGCATACTCCACTGTGGTTACGTACAACACCAACCTGCCAGCCTCTTTCAAGACCAATACACCAAAGCAACCTTTGCACCTCGTCTGGCTTTGTGGACTCAACAGACGGCTCCAGCACTCCCGGCCCACCCAAAGACGCGAAGTTGCTCCCCATGGCATGGCCTTCGTAGGATTCGAGATTGGCGCTGAGGTGCAGTCATCTACAGTTGAGCATGTGCAGAATTGCCAAGGCCCAGGCCTTCAACGATCAAAGCTTCCGGCAGCAACTATAGAGCTACAGAAATACAAAATGCCACAGGTCGTGGTCGTAGCTTTCGTTCTTTATCGGCTGCGATACTGCTACGATGTAGACCGGTATCAACTACCTGAACGGCCGAACACACAGAAAGACCGAAGGATGCCCAAACTTCAACCCGGTAGACAAAAAAATGGCAAGCGGCACCAGCTTCCGAAACACAATATCAACTCCAAAATGCAAGAGGTCTAACCCCAAATGGTCAGTCAAGTGGCCGAAAGGCACAAGCGGCGCGAAGTGGCCGAATGGCAATAGCAGGCCAGGCGCAGGACTCGTAAAGCCTCGGGCGCCACTTCATCGCTTCCTTTTCTTCTGATTACTTACTACTGGTATCAACTATCTCCTATGCTTTAATTGAGCTTGGCTTGTGGGGCTCCATTTTACTTTGAAGTGACTCGTCTAGAACCTCGTCCAGACTGGGTCATACAAGTTCGTACAAACACTTACTTGCCGTTGACACAATGGGAGCACTTCCAACAGCGACTAGTTTACTGCTTGCTTGGCCACGACTGATATTACAACCCCTCCTGCCAGCCCTACAAGTATTTCTTTCGAGGGTTTCAGCACTCGCGCTCGACCAGGTTTACTACTACTGCTGCTACTCCCCCTCTTACTAGTACTGTTACTGCCATTCCCATTCCTTTTTCTTGTGCTAGTACTTTTGTTTGGCTGCTGTTCTTGCTGGAACTTTTTCGGTTACTGGTGCTACTTATGACATTACGACGGCGACGGCTATCTGTACTACTGATGCTACACCTAGTACTAGCTGACGCCCCCCAAACCTGCAGAAGCAGCAGCAAAGCAGGCCGGAAACTCCAGATTGTCTCTCTCAGCACACGCCGGACTTCATGCAAGAGCAACTTCTTCTACCATACCGCACCATACCGTTCGGAGCAAGGCTCTTTGTTCCCAGCATCACTGTAAACATTGATGACACATATTGCTACGTTCCGTCTGTCGGCGACACGGCAGCTGAAGCAATACAGGATTAGAGTTGTTGATGAGCGAGACACAAGACCAACGAGCAAGCGGCCTCCTTTATTCGGCCAAACTGACCTGGTGCTGCGCAAGTCGATGAATATGAGCTCTTCGCGGCGGGGGTTGCTCCGTCTCACAGATGTTGCTGGCTTTCACGCTGGTCTCAGGTTCCCACGCGCGGCGACGTTGACTGCAAGGTCGGTCCAATTGACGTCTCGGTCGCAGTGGCGGTCAGTGCCAATGCTCACTCATCATGCGAAGGCGAGGCTAGGTTAATGCTGCCGAGCTCTTTGTAAGGCTCCAACCTCCAAGTAGAGTCATTGGCTGAGTCGCAGGTCCCCAGCCGATCGGGGGTGTGGTGACCTTCATGCTGGCTTGGGCTCCGGAAGCAGGCAGTGCATGCATTGTCCCAGAAGCAAACACCTACGAACAATCTTCAACAAACATACACTGCGTTCGACATCCTTCCATACTTCACCTTGAAGCCGTCTTCCGGATGTTCAAGTTAGAAGGTGCAGCCGCCATCAGACCGGAATAAACCGGAAGGAAGCAGCATCGTTTCGGGCAGAACAACCTGACAAGAAAAATCGCGTGACCCGGATGCCTGTCGCCAGTCGGCAATACAGTAAGTACGGTAAGTAGTCATCTCTCTTTGCTTTGCTTTGCTCCGGGGTTGAGGTGTGGGCAGTCCCCGAGATGACTCTCTCTCTCTCTCTCTCTCGTTTCTTCTGCTCATGGGCCGTGAAAGGCCTGATACCAGGGTGGGATTAGGTTTCTTTGTTGCGCCTCAAGTGAAAGAGGCATAGCCGTGGTATGTGACTGCGTAGCTGATGGCCTCCGTGGGTTCTGTGCGACACTGTGCAAAAATAATAAGCCTCTCATCCCCCGCATCCTCTCTGCGGTCACTCTCTGCGCTCTCTCCCTCCGCCCATTGTTTCATGCACACTTCTGCTCTGCCGGCCACCCAGGTCTTTGCCTCTGGTTGAATGGGGTGTTCGGCAATTCAGAAACGCTCACAACCGAGTTCAGTTGACAGAAACCCCCTGTGCCTGGAACCTTGAGGCCAATCTTGGCCCAACCTTGCTGTGAAACTGTGACACTACATTCTCGGGCTCCCTGGCTCGCCTGGGTTTCTTCTTCTTTGTCGGGCATATACCCCTTAAAGAGCGGTTGCTGGAAGGAGCCAGCGCTACAATTCCTCGACCCGCGACCCTGTTGCAGCGCAGCCTGTTGTTCCAGAACGCGTGTCGTTTGAGGATCGCTCCTAGCAGCACTTGGATCCCTGAAGTAATACCCATGCGTTGCTTGAAGCTAGCAGCGCTGGAGAATTCAGGAGTCACGCGGGGCCTTTGTGGAGTCCTTACACTGAAGCTGCTTGGGCTCAACCACTGCTTCGTCGCGGCATGTGTGCTTCAGCTGCTGCGCATCACGACACAGTAGTCAGCTGACAAGCATGAGATGCAAGGCAAAAGCCTGCTGCATTTACATTGTATCGCATGATGATGTGAAATTTGTTCTTGATGGACAAGGCGACCACGGGATGATGGTGATGATGGTGGTGGTGGGGTGTTGCAGTGTTGACTGACGACCATTGCTGATTTCGTATTGTTTACTGTTCGCCTATCTGCTATCCTATCACCCTTTACTGCCATGGCCGGTGACCACTCCCCCATCGGATAAAGTGCAGCTTTTTGCTTCTACCTGTATATACGTCAGCAAGCTCTGCTATTTAGGGCAGATCAGGCAGTTGTGGCTTGTGGCGGTTGCACTGTCAGTACTTCCCACTGAAGAACTGTCAGGAGAATGTTACGCAGATGAAAAGGGATATTGCGGGCTGCTGTATTATTGCACGACGCGTTACTTAAGCTTGCAGTTGCTGCTGCTGCTCGTGCTGCTGCTGTGATGAGAGGTACTGCTCTTGTGACATTCCCACTGAAGTTGATGGCACGAGTCCTGTCAGCAGCAGCGGCTGGCGCCTGTTGCCACACGCTCAAGAGACGAGACTGACTCTGTATGCACTCCAACGAGACGTTCATGTTGTTTAACACAGTCGAAGTTTTGGCCGCTTGCAGCCGATGCAGCTTTGACGATGTGCTGCCACCGGCAAAACGTCCATACTGAAGGGTGTAAAACCAAGGCTTGAACTTTGCATCGTCTCATGGATGAAGCGAGCTCGAGTTGAATTGAAAGGTGTTCTTGTACAGAGATATGATGGGACCCTTTGCTTACCTTGGCTTCAAGACCTGAAATGAAGCTTCCCTGGCAGCCCAGCATGAGCGTGGCACCTGTCGATCTCGCGCAGGCTTCAGGAATGCTGATCCATGTTTTCAGACACAGAGTAGGAACAAGAGACAGACAGAGAGAGAGAGAGAGCAAGAGCAAGAGAACATCTATGGACACAAAGAGAAAGAGAGCTGCCGTCAGACCAGCTGATCCTTCCACCCAAAAAGTCGCTGCCTCGACCACCTCGAACGCACCACCCTGGTCTGCAAAGAAAGCAGCAGCTCGGTAGAGGGGCTGCGACTCAAAGTCCTGGCTCTCTCTCTCTGGGAATGTGTCCAGAGCTCAGTGCCTACTATGGCTATGGACACCTGTCTAGCTTTGCGGACTAAGGAGAGATGCACACAGATACTTGTGCAGTAGGCCACAAAGGGCCCGAGAAACCCGAATTCTAGGCACCGCCCATCTACTGGGCCTTTCGATCGCAGGCCCAGTCGTCAGATCTCTGGGACAATGGGTCTGAAAGTTGGTTGAGTCTCAGTGATGCACCCCCTCCATCCCAACCTCTGCAAAAGATACTAGTAACAGATTGGCGACCTGTGAAACGAACGATGAGGGCCTGCGAACTGTGCCATCATTCCTGTAGTGTGTCGGACAGACAGATTACAACAAAGGCCTCCCGAACAAATCAGCAGCCCTTCTTCTGCAGCTAGCCGCTAGCCTACGCCTCTTTGTCGCTCCAGCCTCCAGAAAAGGAAAAGGGAACGGCTGTTGTGGCGGCACCTCGCAGAAATTGAACAAAGGGAAGTGGTCAGAAGGATTTCACTGCAAGAATAAACAAAAAGAGGAGGGAGTTGTGGCTGGCCTGCGCCTCCAGCAAAGTCGCAGCTGCGGTACGGTTTCCCTGCTTGGTGGCCTCAGCTTCCTCTGTGCGTCATTTCACGGGGCAAGCAAATCTTCTGCCGTCTTGCGAGTCTTGGCGACCAGTATAGAATAAAGGTCGAGTGGTGCATGGTGGCACATGACGCAACGTAGATCGCTTACACAAAGTTGTGCGAGCAGATGCGTCTGACCATCTCACACAGAGTTCACTATTCGCACAACCCGTAAGGACTCCACAGTTCCGAGAGTACTGATGGTTATGATCGCGTCCACCGGCACGTCGATCCTCCAGAGCATCGCGCGAATCGTTCCGATCCTAGGGACTAGATTCATCCGATATCATGATTACGAACTAGCCGCTGCTGAGTTAAGTTACACCTGTCCGCGCTAGACTGAATCTGAATCTCGAATAATCAGGAACGATAGGGGCAGAGTCTGCAATCCTCAAGAAGCCTTGCTCGGTCACTTGCACGTCAGGCAGTCGCTGAAACCTTAGGATGTGACGGTCTCAGGTTCGTGGAAGAGCGGTGAAGCATTGTTAACGCGGACGTCCATGTTGAAGCCGCAAACACGCAGCGAGGTCCCTGCCAGTGGCTGCTATTTGTTGCCCAGACCTGCAAGATTGACGTGAGGTTCTAAACCCGAGAAGCGGTGCATCCATACGTACAGTATGATACAATTATACGCACAGCTCTGTGCGTTTGCATCTGCGCATGTGTATGTGTATGTATACGTATGTATGTATGTACGTACATACGTATGTATGTATGTATGTATGTACGTATATGTATGTGTGTAGTATAGATAAACAGTTAGATATATGTATATATGTACATACATGACCGCACCGTGATATGTCAACGTCGGTAGCAGCCGGTAGCATACTGTTCCCAAAACACTTCGTGGTTCCATGCTGCCTCGAGGCTTCGACCCCGAGCCGCTGCGGCCAGCTTGCCTTGGCAAACACTGCTCCAATGCACAAGCTAATGCTGGAAAATGATGTCAGTGTCAATGTGATTTTCCTCAAGAAGTCACTCAAAAGCGAGACCAAGCTCGGAAGGTCACTGAGACTTCGGGATCTGTGGCTTCTCTTGACTTCCGTTGCCGTCCGTCCTTGGCCTCCTGTGACCTCATCCCTGCTGCTGTAAGCTTCACGATCATTGAGGTCCGGTCTGCTGAGCTGAAGCTGAAGGCTCTGCGTTGTCTGCGCCTTGATGCTGTGTAAGCCTCGAAGGAGCCACTGCAGCGATATACAAGGGGCAGGGCAGACTCTTTGACCGTGTTCTCACGTCCGCCACTTCAGTTGTGCAGGGTGTCTTGGAAGCATCGGGAAGGACCCGCACACAGCACAAACATAAGGCAGCCGCAACCGTCATTGTACATGCAGCTGCCTGGTCAATCTCTTTCAGGCCAGATTGCTTCGGAAAGTCTCGGAATCGCAGAATGCTTAAAGCAACAGATGCAGCCTTGACTTAAGTTAAGGCACTCTATTGCGTCAAGTTCACCACTACCGGCACCACAACAAGAACAACAACAGCAGTGGTAGCAGCGACAACAACAACTATACAACTACAACTATTACGACGACTCCCACACTCCCACACCTCCTCCTTCTCCTGTAGCAGTAGTAGTAGTAGTAGCAGCAGTAGTAGCAGTAGCAGTAGCAGTAGCAATAGCAGCAGCAGCCGCAGCAGCAGCAGCAGGAGTAGTAGTAGTAGTAGTAGTAGTAGCAGCAGCAGCAGCAGTAGTAGTAGCAGCAGCAGCAGCAATAGTAGCAGCAGCAGCAATAGTAGATTAGTAGTAGCAATAGCAGCAGCAGCAGCAGCAGCAGGAGTAGTAGTAGTAGTAGTGGTGGTGGTAGTAGTAGTAGTAGTAGTAGTAGTGGTAGCAGTCGTCGTCGTCGTCGTCGTCGTCGTCGTCGTACTAGTAGTCGTCGTCGCCGTAGTGGTAGCGGTAGTGGTAGTGGTAGTGGTAGCGGTAGTGGTCGTGGGCGTGGTAGTAGTAGTGGTAGTAGTGGTACAGGTATGTAGGAGCAGGAGTAGCAGCAGAACAGCGGCAGCTTCTTTTATGCGTACTGCCGACAACAAGCCGGGGCCGCGGCATGAAATCAACGATAATTTGCAACAACAGTACCGAGGGATTTAGAAATGCGGTGGTGGCCTTGCAAGGTCTCGAGAACCACAGTGAAGTCTACCAGGTCGGCACTGGCGATCGTAACATAGGTCCCACCCTCCTGCATGGCTGACGAGAAAGCAGACCATCTGTCATTGTGCTGTGTTGTGTCGTGCTGCAATGTCGACCCGTGAAGCCGGTCAGTGTTCCAAGAATAAGGTGCAACCATGCGCCTGAGGTCAGTTTCAAAGTGGCGGTTCCCACCATCGACCACTCGAGTAGCCGCGTTAAGGTTCCAGCGAGCTGACCCACCTTGCTCCGAATCCGAAAAATGCAAAGCCTATACAGCCCCAAGCTTTCCAGGCCAGCGAGCTGCGAGCTCTACATCCTATGACGGAACAACCCCTTGGCAAACAGCTACCCGGACCAACCCCTTAGCCGGTGAGAGCCGTCCGGCAAGTTGCCGGCACCCTGACCAGCCGGCAGATAGACCCAGCCTCGGTATCTCTGTGTAGACTGTTTAGAGGCAATGCATTGTGACACAAGTTGGCTCAGACTTCATGCCACCCTCCCTGGAGGACTGAAACATAAACCCTGCACTCTCAAGTCCAAGGCATTCAATGTTTCTCGTGTGCAGAGAAACCCCGCGAGCACAAATCAGTGTTGTACAAGTGTACCTACATCCGAACACCTGTCCAGGAGCCTGCAAACGGGGAACGCCATGCCCTTACCACATCGATACTTCGACATGCCAGCCACAAGCACTAAGCACATGAAACAAAAGCTTCCTTCTCAGACTCCCTGCGCTCTTCTGGCCAAGGCATGCAGTCTGGGCAGGCACAGGGGCCCCCACCAGCCATCCGCTGCAACAAAAAGCCGCGTCTTGGCCCAGCCACTATAGTCTCTGTAGCTATGCAAGTCACGTGTGCCTCCTCTGCACCACTCCTCGACGCCGCCGCTTCGGACGGCTCTTGTTTTACAGGTGCGGCTCGCTTCTCGGAGCCCCCCCCAACCACCACTCCCACACATCTCCCATGTTAGCGAAACCCGAACTTCTCATTTTCCAATCCCGAGGCGTGGCACGCTCGAACGAATTGCGACGCGACGTCAGCCCAATATCTCTGTCATCGAGGGGAGGGCTGTCTCAGGCACGCTGCGAAAAGACTAGCCATCTGAGCCAAGGGCCGATTTTGGTGAACTGCGTGGTGTGAGCTGACATCCACACTGGTGCCATGACCTGTTGATGTGGTGACCCCGGCTCTTTGCGAAGCTGGGCCGGCACGTTCGTGGCACACGTACATATGGCACATTGTGCATCAGAACCACTGGCAAAATACATGCATGCACCAAGCACATGTGCGCACGATTGCGCATGTGCGCGCAAAACGCTACAAAGTCGCCACTGAAAGCACGAACGATCCTGAGCAGTTGACTGCACTCCTGGCTACGCATGGCTACGCTGAAACCCTACAGTGCCCTACACCCTGACCCTACATACCTTGTGGGACTGTCCGATGGTCGGCATGCAGACAGGGCCAGCTCGACAATCGTCCACATGGTAAGATTGCACAGTCGACGCACGGTAATTACCGAAAGATTCACAGCACCCGAGAAATTCGTTCTCACAGTTTTGCAGCTACGCTTTCGAGAACAGCGGCAGCAGCTGCAGCAGCTAGAGATGCAGAGCTACCAAGTAAAGCTACAAGCAGAGAGCGGACAGCTTGGAGTCATGCCGACTCGCTTGCTCCACTGGAAAGGTCTCAAGGTTAGAGGTAAATTGCCTGGTGAGGCCAAGGCCTCGTAATGACCACTCCATGGCTCAAAGGCATAGAGGAGGCCGTTCCCGAAGCACTCCAAGTTTGGGTAGACGCTCCTGGCAAAGCTCGACGCAGGCTTATTGTAGCAAAGACCACAAACACTGAGGAGGAGTGGGCGGCATAGCAACAAGGGTTCTAACAATCACGAGCACGTTTCGGCAACTTTCAGAACATTACTTTGCGGTTCTATGTCCTTGTATTCATTCGACTCTGATTCTCACGAGTGTACAAGGCAGGCCTTGCAAGGTTGGAGGTTCCGCGACATCGTGGTACAACTCACTTGAGCGTGCTTGCCGAGGCACCAAATCAAGGACCAAGCTATCGAGGAGGTCGCGTTCATCCGAACCTCAACAATCGACTTGGGCCTGGGCCTTCCAACCCAACTCGGAGCTGTCCCTCTGGTCTTCGTGCTTGTAGTCACAAAGCCCTTTCAAATACGCTGGCTGCCACCTTGCCTGGTACCCTGGCACATGCCCGGCTGCATGGCAAATTCTATACGGAGTGCTGAAAAGGCCTCCAACGTAATTAAAGTGCTTACTCTGAGGTCCTGCTTTGGGATTGCCCCTGCAAGATGATACAGTACTGCGAGTGTGAGGAGCTGGGCAGCCCTGAGCAAGCAGCGTAGTTTTGGTTGATCATCCGGCCCCAGCACCCAGCACCGCCCCAGTCGGCCACCGTCGAGGTCTCCTGCCCAGGGTCCAGCTTTAATGGTGTTGGCAGTCGTGACTCCGACCTGGGAACTCCTGCAACTTGGAGGTTTCGGGGCTAAGACGCTTGGATTATATGTTTTCCACTATGTTTCGCTGTGTGAAGACTTGGGTCTCAGCTTCTTTTTCGTGTCTTGTGAGAGGCTTCGGCAACTGCAGAGGACAAGAAGCTGCACAGTGTCTCTACGGAAGAAAAGTCGCGGGGCGGTGTCTCTGCGTAAAAAAAAAAACGTGCAGCACCAGACAACTTCTAGAGGCTGAGGGATGAATTGAGCTCCTCTTTGGTAAGGGGCGGCTTACCGAGTCGGATGTTGTTGAACTCTCGCCTCAAGGCAAACTTTCCTGCGGCCAGGCGCTCCACATTGAGCTTGGATGCCATACTAAAGGCCTTCAGGAGCGTGTCGAGTGCGTCGCGGAAATACTTTTCGTGACCCTCGTGAGACATTGCATCCGTCGGATTGTTCATCTTGAAACCGGGCTCATAAACCCTCATATGGGAACGCACGAAGGTTTCAAGCAGAGCTGAATGGTGCAACAACCAAGGGAGCGAACTCTAGCCGAGCCTGAGCATTCATGGCGAAGGCGGCGTATGCGCGAAGGCATTTGATAATCTGTGGACGAGGTTGTCGATTAGGCTTGACGATCTCGGTCTTGCCGACTTTGGGCCATTGGTCATACACCCACAGGTGCACCAGTCCTATACCTGGAAAGGTCCTTTATCGTTCAGGACGTCAAGAATCTGGGTCGTAGCCTCGTGAAGCTTTGACTGGCAGCGAGGGATCCCAATGCACATGAGCTCATTCAGGTGCTTCGTCAAGGCGGCCCAGAATCTCGCGGCTTTCGGCTTCTGCACAGCAGTCGCGAACAGACTCGTACCCAAGTCATCGGAGATCCGCAGCTTGCTGACGAGCCACTTGGCTCCGACAGAGCAGGCGCAGATGGTTTCGCAGGCGTTGGAGAGACTTGTAAAGTATCCCGCCGATGCAGAGATCGCTGGACCGGAGGACCTGGGCATTCCAGTTGAAGACTTGGAGAAGCACGCGGTCTGGCCATCGTCCTCGCTGCCGGAAGAAGCTGGGCACATGCTGGCCTTCGTCTACACCATGTTGCTCTTGGAGCTGCCAGAGGACACCATGCTGAACACTTCCAGTTGGGACGTGTTGCACAGGGCGGAGTGAAGTGTACTCATCACCTGTTTCAGCTCTCTTGGTTCGAAAGAACGTCATGAAGCTGGATGTTGCTGCCTCTGGTGTAGCAAGCCCCGGCGTGGCATCGACTGTCTCGTCCGCTGGTTCTGGACTCGGAGCCGGATGCATCTAACTGTGTGGGTGCGTCCCGCCGTGTCGGCGCGACACCTCTCTCTGCTGAGGGATCAAACAAGAAGTCCAGGGACACCGGGTTGTGACTCTCCAGTGCGACCAAGACTTGCGGAGTGCTCATGCTCTAGAGCCAGACGCTGCCAAGTCGTGTTGTGAAGACTTGGCCTTATGTATGACACTCTGTGTTTGAAAACCCTCGTTGAAAACAGAACACTCCACAAAGCCTTTGTTCTCAAAGTTCCTCCAGTACAGTGGGTGTTCATGTAGGGACAGATGCAAGGTTTCCCCTGCACACAGCTCCTCCATGCAGCTCTTGACGAAAACATGCTCCAGCTGCATTATGAGAAACACGAGGATGTTAAAGACAGCAGCATGGCTACTCCAAAAGTCGGACATGTAAAGCTGCGAAACGAACTGGTGGTCATGGCGATGAGGACGACGATGACAACGACGAGCATGGTCATACCGAGGATGATGACGGTGGCGCTGGTACTGGTAGGGGCGGGGGCAAAGCGACCATAGCCATGAAAACGAAAAACTTCATGTTGGTGTTGATGCTGATGATGACGAGTACGATGGCAATACTTTTGACGAAGCTGTTTTGCTGAAAGCACCAGCTCGCTGCTTTTGCTGCTGCTGTTGTCGAAACGAGGAGTCTATCCGAGCCTATCCCTCGAGGAAAAAACTCCAGTGCAGAATGACATGCTGATATACTGGCTGAAGCAGACAGAAATGGTTTTTGAGTGTAGATATTTACGGCAAGATTATGTCAGCCCGCATGGCTGGGATGTAATGCACTCGGCATGGCACAGAGCTTGGGAGAATGTCCGCCCCTCGTGCAGCTGCCATGCTTCTCGCAGGTTTCAAGTACCCTTTGGCCTCCGATGCCCAGAAGCGTGTAGAGGGGTGACGCCGCAGTGCTTCGCTGAGCTGCTCATTGTCGTTGCCTCAGACATCGTCTTCCATGGTGAACCAGTTCTGAACCACGTGGTGCACGTCATCACTTCAAAAATCAGTCATGTCGTCTTGCTGACGAGCTAGGGACTGAAGCCGTTGCAACCACACCCTCCAAAAGGGCAGAGAAATAGCCTGGGGCCCGGACAGGGATAGTGCAGGCCAACTGCCGAGATCAGCTCCTGGAACCGCCTCGGCAATATATCTACGAAAGAGATACCATCTGTGCACATGGAAACGCATTTTGTATAGATCTATAGATCGAACTACATACGTATCTAGCTAGCTACCTGCCTACCTGCCGACATACAAACGTACATATGTACATGCATACACACATACATAGATACGTCCATATCTGGATATGCACATACATAAAACCAGCGTTCCGAATGTAACGTTATACGGAGATAAAACCTGCAATGCATCAGAGGACTTAGCCTAAGATCCGATATAACAGAATATATAGGTATGCTATGGTTATGATACACCGTCGAAATCAAAGAACTGGCATGATGTTGGCCGTGACCGTTCGAGAGAAGACTTTTTGCTGCATGTCTGGCTTGAGCAGTGCCTCACCGCATAGATCCGCACTCACACAAGGCCCTCTCTTCAACTCCGATAAGAGTGCAGTATTCCCGACTAGCCACGGCCTGGTACCTTGAAGGGACCATAGATATCAATCGTGGGATAGGTCTTCGGCATCAAGATATCTTCCGACATGGCTAGGCTTTCTTGGCTTTCCAACCTCAGCATTGCCCTCAGGAGGGACTCCTGTGTGCGCTTTGCCTCCTTGTAGTTGCCTGTGTTGTAAAAGCCTTCGAGCTCGACCTCCCAGTATTCTCCTAATGCGGACATCTGCTTGAAGGGGACGCCAGCGTCTCCAGAGCTGAAGCTGCCACCAGGCAGAGTCCCAAGCCCTGGGAAGCGAGTCCCGAAACCTGTTCCCGTGATGCTATAAATGGTATCTGCAATCCACTGCTGCATTGAGACCATGACATCAGCCCCATAGGCAATCCCAACATTGAAGCGACGCTCATGGCCGGGAGTAAGGGTCGCATGTCGACCGTTCCCGAAGGCATTCAAACTTACTTCTGTCCTGGCGAAACCATCGGCGAGGAAAACAGGCCCTCCCTTAGCCGTGCAGACAGGACCGGAAGCAATGTTCATGCCTGCCGAGATTATCAGCTGGACATCCACGGTCTGGCCATCGGATAAAGTTCTGTTGCAAAGCTGCCCCATTGCATGATCCAAACATATCTCCAAACCAATCTTGAGGCCTCCTATGTTCAGCAAACCATTCGGCAGCTCAATATCATGTCCGAAGCCTAGCTGTTGCAGCAAATGTTCGGGCAATCGGCCATATGTACAACCGTTGGAGTCCGGATGCTTTCGACAAAACTCATGGGAGCTGTGGGGTGGTGGTGGAATCACGCGAGAGTCCTTGGGGCCTGCTTTGAGGAAGTCAATGCCACTGACGAAGCGCTTGAACTTCAAATAAGTAGTGTTCGTACCGCCGACATGAACAGGGGCAAAATTGAAGTATGTAATGTTGTCGCCTGGTCGACCGGACATACGCACATACCGCTCGTCAGTGGTTTGGGCCATTACCACCGTGCCATCAATGACCAACCAATGCTTGAAGCGCTCATGTGAAAATCGATTGAAGATAAATTGCACCGTGGAGTGTGCCACATGCTCGAGTTCAGGTGAAATGCGATACGCTCCCTGCTTGCCGCGCCAGTAGAACTCCGGGAGCAACACGATTTTCAGAGTGCTTGGACTGCGATCCCAATGTTCCGAGGCAAACGCCCGCTCAACTGCATCAATCAAGATTTGGAGGCGCCGCTCAACGTCATCACGTACCTTGTCACTACCTAAGTAACACTGCTCCATCTCATCCCGATCGCCGAAGCAGCCATCTGCTTCAGTTCCAGGTGCAGTGAACAGGTTTATGCCAAGGTACTGCACTGCACTGTACTGCTGGCCATCAACTAGAACGGTGGGAGGAGCATGTTGCGTGGCCTTCTCCGCCGAGGCAAGGTCTGTCTGAAACCAACAGGTCAAACTTATCAGCGAAGCGAGTAGCACGGTGCCGACTATGGCCTTACGTTTTGAATGTCCGAGTTTCCAAGATATCCATGTCGCCCAGGCATGCTTCGAAGACTGCCTGTCATCGTAGAATCCTGGCAAAGCCCAGTTGTTTTCGCGCTCTGCATCAACTGATTTCAGTAAGGAAGAGGCAAGAAGCCTCTGCGACATGCTGCTTGTGAGCAGGTATGGTTTGGGTCCTTGGTCTTTGAGCATCGCGGACTAGGGTTCCGGCGGTTTGGATATGCAGCATGCACTTATGCATGCACGGTTCAAAAGATCTGTGCTCAACTACAGGGAGGAAACTGCAAGATCCAGAGCAGCCTTCGATATCCTTGCCGCGTTCAGCCTGGGAGGCGGGCTCATCTTCCTCGAATTTGCTCAGGAAGTCCTGCTTTACCTGTGAAGCAACCGCATCCTTGGCAGCAAAGAGCGAAGGCAGGAAAGCGTACTGACAGCTACAATACAGTCAGCAGAACCCTTGCCCGTTTTGGGTAATAATGCCACCAGTCAACCCATAAGACGATTATTCCTATACTCCCCCCTAC